ACTACATTTGAAGCATGATCTATATCCAAATCTACTGGTTATATTTTCCATAGGATTTTTCTTGCCTTGTGACACCACATTCATAACCTTCTAGTAAAAGATGCAGATGTGATCTAAAATATTGTACCTGTTGAGCTTCTTGATGCATCTTAATTTTATAAATTATCTTTTTAGACCAGTTGTTATGCCTACAATACTTTATAGTCATGTAATAAAGCAAGATTCAGTGGGAAGGACTATTTAGGTTCTACCAGTTTGGCAATAGCGTATCTTAATCCTGATTCAGTGCCCAGGAACACAAGTTCAAATTGATTCCAGAGGATGCATCAACTGTAAAATACTGTCTACACTTTTTTAGCCTTTTGATTCTTGGTTTGAAAAGTACTTTACCACCCTATATAGTCTTGCTATAAATATCTTGTTTCCCACAGAGTGATGATGGTGGCAAAGAAATTTCTGGATGCTGGGAAAAAACTCAACTTTGCTGTTGCTAGCCGCAAAACCTTTAGTCATGAACTTTCTGATTTTGGCTTGGAAAGCACTACTGGAGAGGTTCCTGTTGTTGCTATTAGAACTGCAAAAGGAGAGAAGTTTGTCATGCAGGAGGAGTTCTCGTGAGTTAAAAGTTAATGTGTGTTTGGAATTTGATTCTGCAAGGAAATTATCAAAGCCTTTTATAAAGAGAAAAACATTGGAATGTGAAGATGGGTCTTCTAGCCTAGTCAAGACCTATGATTATCTTTTTCTCAATTTAATTATAGGTGCTTTAAGGATTATGACCCTTATAAATTCTGAAAATTTAGGATTGGAATTCTTACATGACTGTTTCCATTATGCCATTACATTGTATATAGATAGAGAACTTTTGGCTCTCTCTTTGAAATGGATGTGATTTCAAACCAGCACATCCCCTTCACATTCCTACATGTCTTCCTTTTTGGAATACCATATTATCCTAAAGTAAACTCTTCTTCCTTCTCGTAATCTTTCTCATCCACAGAGAAAGGTCTCTTGGTTAGTCAGTAGTTCTTCATATTGAGAGTTAACAGCCCTTTCCCTCTTTTCTGGCTTCTAGTTTCTCTTTAGCCTTGAAATTGAAGCAAATATTGAGAAACTATTCTATGAAATTGCTTTTAATCCTCTCAGTGTTGGGAATAAATTAATAAACCTAACTCGTATTTTTCCAATTGCAGGCGTGATGGCAAGGCTCTTGAGAGATTCCTGCAGGATTACTTTGATGGCAACCTGAAGAGATATCTGAAGTCTGAGCCCATTCCAGAGAGTAATGATGGGCCTGTCAAGGTGAGACTAACAGCTTCACCAAGCTCTACTTTCTTTTTTTTCTCCTCAGTTTTATTTTTTTAAAGATTTGTGCATATAGAACTGTGGTATAGGCCAGAGGTCCAGGGGCAGGGAGAAGATTCACCAGAGACAGAGTAGGGAGCAGAACAGGCAGATGTACTGAAATACACTGCTGAAGGGAGCAGCGGGTGGGTCAAGAGAAGTCTGCCATGCCATGTGGATCACCTCCAGGGCTGCACTGAAGCAGCTGTGCCTAGCGTGCAGTGCGGCACTTTACCTGTTGCGCCACCAGGGAGGACTTCTCCTCAATTTTAATGGAGTTTAATGACTCTTCTTTACTCCAAAAATACTGGGTCAAAATGAAAACTGTTGATTTTTGTGTTTTGTTTTTGTTTGTCCTCTCCTCCCTGGAGTCATAAATAAGCATTGGTAGAGCTTATAGTAGTTAGTAGGTGTAGGCATATAACCTTTCATAGAATTTTCTGATGACATTTAGGAGAACTAGGTTCTCTTCAGAACAGCCAGCTAACCTCTAAGAATAGTTTTTAAATTGTTGCTCTCAGATGATTTTTTGTTTTTCAAAGATTTTTTTTTTAATGCACTTATGCATGCAAAAATTGGGATATATGCCAGTGGTGTGAGGGATGATTTACCAAGTGGGGAGCAGAACAGGCAAATTGACAAAGTATACTGTTGAGGAGAGCAGTGGGTGGGTAAGGAGAGATCTGCTGTGCCATGTGTGTCAGCAACCTGGCCCAGGGATTGGTAGCTGGCGATAGCTTGATAGTGCTGAGACTAACCCCTGTGCCACCGGGGAAGCCCCTCTGAGATAATTTTAAGGATGGAGTTATAGCAGTCCTGTGTCTTTCTAAACATAGTTTAACAGGTGATAGACAAGAAAATGGAATGACTTGGTTTCTAGGAGATCGGCATCATCTTTCATGTAGTCTATAAATGTGATTTAAGTTTCTGTGATGTATTTTCAGTAGCAACACATCAACTTTTAGAGGATTTGAGCCAGAAATAAACATAGATCATGAATTTATTTTTCAGCTTGTCTTACCAACTAGAGAATCTTGTTTTCCAGGTAGTGGTAGCAGAGAATTTTGATGAAATAGTGAATAATGAAAATAAAGATGTGCTAATTGAATTTTATGCACCTTGGTGTGGTCATTGTAAGAATCTGGAGCCTAAGTATAAAGAACTGGGAGAAAAGGTACGTCAAAACTGTATTGTGAAGATAAATGCATTCACTAATTAGTTAACCTAATTATTATTATTTTAATATCTTAACTATTGGTAGTTAAATTCTCTATAGACTTTCTCCTGACTTCCCCCCTAGTTGCCCGGGTCCAGTGCCTGTTTTAACTTTCCATTGAACAGATTCATTGTAGTATCCAGGAACTTTGGTGATGGCTTACAGGATTCTGTTAAGTTCCTTCATCTTAAAACATTTGGCTCTGTCCTTACAATGTCTTAAGAGGCCAGATAAATCTATGAATCTGAGAGAGAGAAGAAAACAGACACATGTGGAAGGTTAGATACTATGTAGTTAGATCACTATGCCCAACTGAGCAGTAGCTTATCCAGGTGTTTGAAGAAAAAGATTGTTTTAAGTCCTAAATTACTACATACACCTCAGTCACTAAAAAAAGAAAATTTAAAGATCTAACCTTTTTATTAACAGCTCAACAAAGATCCAAATATCATCATAGCCAAGATGGATGCCACTGCCAATGATGTGCCTTCTCCATATGAAGTCAGAGGGTAAGTAGATTAAAAACTAACAAATTGCCTGAGCAATGAAAAGGAAAAAATGGTAGACTTGTAAACTATTTCTTCATTGGATTTGGTTGGGAGGAGGTGGGATCCAACTGAACACAAAGCCACTGATAATCTTCCTAACTTAGAATTCTGCAGCATGAGCCCTCATGACTATCACAGATTTTGTGAGCTCTTATTTGTGAATTTTGATAGGATGTTACTTAGCCACTGCTGGAGAATAGTATCTGGTAAAATTTAGAAATCATAAAGAGAGGTTCTTCTCTGCAACAGTAATTTTTTACTTTTTTCCTCCTCTAGTTTTCCTACCATCTACTTCTCTCCAGCCAACAAGAAGCAAAATCCAAAGAAATATGAAGTAAGTGTATTATCTCATTGTCCACAAGTAAACACACACACACTTGTACATGTCCAGTTCTTTGGGTTTATTTAACTAGAAGCTCTTTAAATTCTCATGGTCAATATATCTGTTGAAGGGAGGAAAAATACAGAATTGATTAAAACATTCAAAACAATTCTATTTTCAGGGTGGCCGTGAACTAAGTGATTTTATTAGCTATCTACAGCGAGAGGCTACAAACCCCCCTATAATTCAAGAAGAAAAGCCTAAGAAGAAGAAGAAGGCACAGGAGGATCTCTAAAGCAGCAGCCAAACATACCCCTTTGTGAAAGGACTCTACCGCCATGATGGGAAAACCATTGGGGAGGACTGGGACCCATATGGGGTTATTACCTCTCAGCCCTGAAAGAACAGATTGGATATAATCTGAATCCTGTTAAATTTTCTCTAAACTGTTTCTTAGCTGCACTGTTTATGGAAAAACCAGGACCAGTTTATGTTTGTGGTTTTGGGAAAATAAATAAATATTTGTGTTGGGGGGGGCGGGGAATGTGTTGTGGGGGTGGGGGGTTGAATTGGGGGGTTATTTTCTAATTTTTTTTGTACATTTGGAACAGTGACAATAAATGAGCCCCCTTTAAACTGTCTTTTTTCCCATGATATGGAGAACCAAAGGTTGGTTCTCTAAACTAAACTAACACTGTCCAGTAGAACTTGCTACAATGATGGAAATGTTCTATAATCCTCATTGTCCTAATATGTGGCTATTGAATATTTGAAATATAGTTAGTGAACTGTATTTTAAATTTTCATTCAATAGTCCCTTGCAGGGCTAGTGTTGTTCAGTACAACTATATACCAACTAACCAGGTACCAGCAAATCCTTTCTAAATCTCATTTCTTTCTATCCTTACATGTTTATGTTTAGGACCCTGATAATTAGAACAGGTGAGGGGCCTTCGTTGTTGGCTTCTGTTTTTTGGGCCCCGCCCTTGCCCTTAGAATGGGTTGCTGTTTATCCTTGCCATGCAGCTGAGCATGTTTATGCCTCCTAAAGGCTATTCTCTGCCCAGAAGTGCCCTTTGAGGGTGTGGCATCAGGTTTGGGGCTTCATCCAAGTTGTTTCAGGGATTGCTGACACTGCTGGATGCAGCGCTCTTCCAAAGCCCAAGGTGTGGCCTATTAACTTCCCTCTCCAGTGGAACTGGGACAGGCAGTGTCATACCTGGTTGTGAGCGAAGCATCCACTTGTGCAACCATGAGGAATGAAAAGGCTAGAATTGGTGTCTGTTTTTGTTCAAATGAACTACTTCCCCTTTTTTGTGGTAAATAAATCCAAATCCTGACCACATTTACAGTGTTCAGTCAGAGCCCTAATTTGCAGGTGATCTTTGTCAGGCTATGTTTAGAAAAAAAAAAACTATTTCTACTATAATCTCTGCTTGTCAGTTGTCGAAGGGATTTGGTAGAGCTTATAAAATCTTTATTAAGATCATCATATAGTGCTTTGAAGAAGTAAAGAAGCTTAAGTAAACCATAATCTTGGGGATTGATTCATAAGATTTGAGTTAGGGTCTAGAGGTCTCATTTTTTAGAAAGCCCAGCAGTGGCTCAGGTATATGAAACACCGCCTAGGAAAATTTAAGTAAAGCATATAAACTTGTACAAAGGACACAGAAACAATCAGCTTTAAAATTTTTAGCCGTATTTACATGTTTATATACTTCGAGTACAAGGGTAACACCCAAGACTTCCCATTATATGCAGGTATATTCCCTTTGCTCTCACCAAAATTTATCCTTTCTCTAGGGAAGTTAGCAAACTAAATACACTTAATCTAATCTAATGTCTTCAAGGTGTATGTTGGCCTAGAAATGGTAGCATTTCTCAGGATTTGAAAATCATTTGGCTAAACTAAAGGCGGAGAATCCTAGGCTCTGCTACTTTTCCTGGGCACTCTCCCCAAATCCTGCAAATTAAACTATGACATCAGTAAAAAACCTTAACCTAGAGCAGCTTTCCTATAGACCACCATGGACTCAGCAAAAAGGACAAACAATTGCACTTATAGCTGCTTGGTTCTTCGTAGCTCACTGCGCAGATTGTCAAAAGCCTCCAGACAGTTTCAACTGCCCCTGTTCTTTTCCTCGAACTCCAGGATGAGACCTTTAATGTGAGCCAATTTCTGATGCAGGTACTCACAGCGACGCTTTTCTTCTCTGTAACCTGGATACCGCTGCAGAGAAAAAGGAAATTTTTATGAAAATGCACTATTTCTAGCTTCTTAGCTACCATTCCCAAGTCATGTCTTACCTTCCTGAACTTCTTATACTCCTGCACTATCTTTTCTTCTAGCACCTGAAACAAAGAAAATACTAGCGCTAAGTTGAATGTTGAGAGAAAAAGCTCCAGTTCTTTTAAGGAAGGAAAGGAACGTTACTTCTTACTCTACAAAATGACAGACTATTTCTCGCAAAACAAGCTTGCTTTTTACTTTTTTTAGTCATTGGACACAGTCATGGGCAGAGAGCAGGCAGCTTATAGCCAGTAGAGCTGGGAAGCCAATGCTTACTTTGTGTTCTGGAGTTCCTCGTTGCACTCTCTTGATCTCAGCTCCAAGTTCTATGAACCTTTGGCTTGCAGCCCCAACACGAGCATGCAGGATGCGGTATTCAGCATAGTCTGTCTCAAAGTCCTGCTCATAAGCATGTTGCTGCTCTGCACTGTGGATGGCCCTGTATTGCCTGCCAAGAGCAGAGAATTGTCACCTTCAGTTTCATTGCTTCTAAAAGTTCCCAGCTCCCAGAAAATATAACTCGTAAGCACATTGCTTGATAAAACTGGAAATGGCAGGGAACTCACAGAAGGTAATCTGGTACCTCTTCAGGATTTGAGGATTCAGAGTCTAGGAAAGAAGCGAGAAGCAAAAAAGTGATGATAGGCCTTCTCTTGCAGCCAATGCCTCACCCCCCTCCACCCCTCACTGCGGACAGTTTTACCCTCCTTTAACTTAACCTGCTTGGACTGAAGGACTATGCCCCAGTCTGGGACCCATGTCTTCATCTTTATCTTCTTGCTCCCAATCTTCTTGCAGATCTTGATTGGGCAGCCCTTGTAGGGGACTTGGAGCTGGAGACAGAGTTCTGGGCCTCTTTTCTTTCTGTTCTATCGTGGCTGTAGATGCTGAACGTTTCTGTTGGGGATAATAGAATAAAACCAGAAATTACTCTTCTGTCCTTGACAATTCCTTCCATATGCTGAGTTTTGGAAACCTCAAAATGAGAAGTCCCAATTTTTAAAATTTCACCTGATTGAAAAACTTGCTATTTAAACTCACCTTGTCTAAATGTTTCTGGCTAGCAGAGGAAGGCAGTACCGGATCCTGGTCTCTATTTGGAAGATATGTATGGCTCCTAGGATATTTGAAGAGGGAATGGGAGAGATGAAAGACCAGAGCAAGGGGCATTGCTAGATCTCTTATTACAGGGTTTAGCATGGAGATTAGAGAGGAAAACAATACCAAGGCTTCCCAGGTTAGTGTCACCGTGTCAAGTACCTCACTTCCCATTGTGCTATATGTTCCCTTGAGGATCCTGGGAGTGACTGTCCTTGGCTGCTTGTCAGTGGATCTGGCACCTGATGGGGAAAGCGGCAGGGGCACTTGGCTTCTGGGTCCCCCAACTTTGCCCCCCTTTTCCTAGCTCCCTGCAGTTCCTGACCTCACCTCTTCTAGTGCCATCTGTGGCCGTGAAATTGCTGATTCTTCAGAATAGTCTTCCACAGTATGCCAACTCTCAGGATTTCTTGCATCTTCTGTCAGGTTGTATTCCTGAACTGAAGATGGGGCTGGGATAGAATCCATGGCTGCCCAAATAGTGAGGCGCTCCCTGAGTGGTCCCAGGCAATGGAGGCGGTTAGGTCCAGATCTGGAAGGGGTAGTGGAAAAAAAAAAAAAAAGTGGTGGGTAGAGAACTTCTAAGCATCCCTGAACATCCACTGCTGTGCTTTCCACAGTCCCTTATCTGTTATCTATTCCCCCTTACCTGCCTAACCGCTGGCACACAAGGTCCAAGCCACCACCACCATTACTGAACTCCTGGCCACACTGGGACACTATGAAGGAGAAAAGGCAGGACCAGCGCGGACCTGGGAGCCTCAGATACTGGATGGAGATGAAAGGAGATGTAAGCCCGTGAAGTCCTCCCCTCCCCTTCCTGCCAGTGCCATTCCTCCCCAAACCAGCTAAGACTGAAGTTGAGTCCCAAGGGGCTCGTTAGCACACCAGGTGCAGCTGGGCCCGAGTGCCCCAGGCGGCTAAGGCAGCACTGTCGCTTCAACCGCAACCTCCTGGGACCACACCCCCAGCAGCCCGCTGGCCCCACTCTGGGTTCAGTTCTCGGAACTTCGTCAGACCGTGACTGCTCGGGGCCTCCAGAACTGGCCGTTCCTTCCCTGAGCCCACTCGTCTGTACGCCCCCTCACCCTTTCACACACCCAGGGACAGCACGTACCCCTCGGTTGCCTTGGAAAGCGATCACTGGACGAACCTGTGGGGAAAGCACACAAACTAGCCAAGCTCCAGGCGGCTGCCTCTCCAGGATCTCGAGGAGAACTTGCCTCGCGGGGTTCACTCAGAGAGGTGGGGAGACAGGAGCCTGCGGATACTGGCTCCGTATCCCCAAGTCCCTTTCTAAGGTCGCCGCCTAAGACTGGACGTCGCAAGATGTAAGGGTTAGTTAGGGAAAAGGGGGCCCGGGGGCAGTCTCACCTGTAGCCGCTGACACTCCTGCAGCGCCCGCAGCGCCGCATCGTTGAGTCTGAGAAGCAGGAGGCTGGTCCGGGCAGCCGGTGTGAAGCAGAGCCGGAGTTTCCCGCTCAGAAACTCCTGGGATCCCTCCATGGCCGCGAGGTCGAGCGCAAGCAGAACGACAGGCGAGGGCCACCACTACCACCTCCGCTGTGCAGGACTAGGCGGGCACACTGGTTAGCCTAGGTGTGTCCCGCCCTTTACCAGGGCCCCGCCCCTGGCCCCACCCCCGAGCCCGCGCCACCCCAGAGGTTTCCCGGTAGCGTGGGTGGTGCTTTGCGCCCAACGACGTCCGCAGGGACCCCAGCAATTTCTTCTTAGATAGAGCTGCACAGCGTGGGATTTCATACAGGGCTATCCCAGTAACGGGGGTGGTGGTGTGTGTGTGTGTGAAACGTCTACAGCTAGCTTCAGATCTCTCACTCAGAATCTCCAGTCATAGTTTCCTCGGTCAACCTGAAATCTGAGTTGCCGTCTCAAAGTGAAGTTGACCGCAGTCTCAGGAGGATTTCGGGGTGGGGGGCAGTAGAGAGGTTCTGGTTGTTGCACAGGCTCGACTGACTGAGCTTGGTAGGCCACAACAAGCCTTCACGGACCAAATGATGGCGAACCATAAGAGGACTTCCTGGCGCCATTACCAGGTGCAGGGCTTTTGCTTTTTCCCGCCTATGATGCTGCAGTGGACGCGAAACCGGTTCCTGTGACTGCTAGAGAATCACGCCATCTGTCTTGTCAGGAGATGAAGCTTGACTGTCGCTGGTTGGAGCGCCCCCCACCGGTGAGCAGGGATGGGGTATGAGGTAGCAGTCCATTTGTAGGGACAGGAGAGGGAGGATGTGAGATTGTAATGGAGAGCAGACTCAGGTGGGCGGAAAGGTATTCCGGAGGTCCCGAACTTGGTGCAGTGAGGTCGTAGGGCCAATCAAACCAGACCAGCCTTTGGCTCTTTCACTTGTCCCTATTTAGTATGTTTCCCAAAAACCCCAATGTTCTATTTCCTAGCTAGGACCTCTCTGCTAAATTCCTGAATTTATATAATCCTGGGTGCCCTCTACCTCAAAGTACCTGAACGCCTGTCAAAACTCATCAAATGTGTGTGTGTTTAGGTCTCTCCCTGGTGGCGCTAGGGTTTAAAGCGCAGCACTATACAGCTATCCACAGCCCCTGCAAACCCACATGGTGCAGCAGACCTCTCCTGTTTCCCCGCTGTTCCCCTCAGCAATGTATCCACTTGTTCTGCTTCAAGCTCTGTCTCTAGTGAATCCTCTCACCCACCCCAACTCCACCCCACACCTCTGGCTTGTACCCCCCGTTTTTGTATGCATAAATAAATCTTTTTTTAAAATGTGTTTATATAAGCTATAAGTCAATAAAGCTGCTTTTAAAACAAACCTGCAACTTCAACAACAAAAAGATTTACCTATCCGTTTCTTCAGACATTCTGCTTCTCTGGGTGACAGCTGGGTAATCTGATAAGCTGTTGTGGATAGAGCTGGTCTCCCAGGGTTCCATTTCTTTTCCAATGACACCTGTGACCTTTTGTTGGATTTTGCTGGATTTAAACTCAAAGGAGAGGCTAGAGTAATGAAATTTTCCAGAGAGGAGGGAGGAATGCTATAAGGGCAGGTGACTGGGGAAAGAGTCTTAAAGAAGGGAGAAGAGAGGCAGGAGTCTAATTACTGGGAAATTTTGCATGGTGAGAGGAGTCACCAGAGACAGAGTAGGGAGAAGAATAAGTAGAACTACTGAAATACACTGCTGAAAGGAAGTGCAGGGGAGACAGGAGAGGTCTTGTTGAGTGGTGTGGGTCAGCTCCCTGATTGTACAATCCCTACAATAACTTCAATAATAAAAAAAATTGTATTTTTTATCTACATTCTTCATTCAGTGATTCAACAAATATTCTCAAGCTCTTACTATATATTAGATGCTATACTCAAACCTTGGGTACATCAATGAATAGATTCTGGCTTTGAAGGGGCCTACATTTTAGAGCAGATGATGATACTGTAAACACACCTCAGAAATAAACATAAGAATAAACATTAGAGGGACCTCCCTAGTGGTGCAGGAGTTGAAGACACAGCACTATCAAGCTATCCCAGGCACATTAGCACTACAAAGACACCCCCACCCCACCTTGGGAGCCAGGGAACAAACCCACAAGGCTCAGCAGATCTCTCCTGTGTCTTCTGAATCTCCCCTTAGCAGTTTATTCAGTAGTTCTGCCTATTCTTCTCCCTACTCTGTCTCTGGTGACTCCTCTCACCATCCTGTACCTCTGGCCTATACCTCAGTTTTTGTGTGCATAAATAAACATAAATGTTAACATAAAAAGGAGTGAGAACTTATGAATGTCTATGGCAAATATCAGCTGAACCAATAGAAAAGCATAGGTTTTAGAAGGAAATGCTGCTCAGAGCCCCTGACTTTGCTCATGATATATTCACAGAGGTATGTGGGACAGGTAGGTGCTCTGTGGAGGCAGTTCTTCAAGAGAGTAAGTGGTCAGTAGTAAATTGTATTACCAGCCCAGGAAAAGCCCAAAGTGAAAAGGGAAAGTGTTTTAGTTCCTCTTCTCAGTCATTTTGTGATCCACACTGGCCATCTGTGTCACTTATAACTTAGAAACTGCTGCCAAAGCAAAGCTACCTTCCCTATAAGGTACTCCTGGCAATGATTTGCCTATCCTGTCTCTGCATCTGCTCCTTGCATGTTCTGCTCTTTTATGCACATAAGAACAGGGTTGTAGGACAGAGGTGCAAGGGGCAGTGGTGAGAGGATTCACCAGAATCAGAGTGGGGAGCAGAACAGGCAGAAGTACTGAAATACACTGCTGAGGGGAGCAGTGGGTGAGATATGAGAGATCTGCTGCACCATATGACAGGATCAAACTCATACTGCAATGGCTATGATAGATAGCTTGATAGTTGAGATTTAGCCCTTGCCCCACCAGGGATGCCCTGCTGTTTCTTTCTATCAACACTTTCTTTTCTCAATTCAGATTTATTACCCACTGGGAATGGAGGGAACAGAGGCAAGAGCTTTTGTTGTTTTTGTTAAAGATTTATTTATTTATCATACAAGAACTAGGGACAGAGGTGCAGGGTGAGAGAATTCACCAGAGACAGAGTAGGAAGCGGAACAGTCAGATGTACTGAAATACACTGCTGAGGGGAGCAGCAGGCAAGACAGGAAAGGTCTGCTGTGCCAGGGTTGAACTTGTGCTGCAGTGGCTGAGATAGCTTCACAGTGCTGTGCTTTAACCCTTGTACCACCAGGGAGGACACCTAGACCCTTGCCACTCTACTCTGGAGGCTATTTCATTTACTACCATGGTTGGATTTTTAAACCTAAAATTTGTCTTCAAGTAAGTTATATATGTGCATATGCATCCTAAACAAGATAATAATAATAATAATAATAATAATAATAATAATAATAATAATAATAATAAACCAGTAGTCTTTATTCTACTCTCCTTCCCACTGATTAAAGAAATTATAATTCTTTCAGTTATTTCTTCTGGCATATATTGTTTTTTCTAAATATCATCCCATGTCTGGATTTTTAAGTTCCAGATATTAGCCACTGATTTCTATTTTAAAAAATGGGACATAAAAAAAAATCTGGCACCTAACTTTCTTATGGTCTCACAAATAGGCATGTACATTCCCGCCATTCTCCCAAATAGTAATGTTATTTTTTAGATCAACATGTAATATTAACATGAGTATATAAATGTTACTTACAAGTTCTAAAACTTAGAGTACTGTTTGCATTTCCTTTTTTACATATTCTACTCCCTCCAAAATTTTAATAATTTTCTCTTTTTTTTTTTAGTTTTTTCACTTATCTGTGTTCTCATTATCACTTCTTTCTCATACTCTCTTCTGAAGTACAAATCTCTTTAAATACAATCAAAAAGGGCCTCCCTGGTGGTGCAAGGGTTTAAAGCACAGCACTATAAAGCTACCCACAGCCACTGCAGCATGTGTTTGATACAAAGGTGGACCTCTCCTGTCTCATCTGCTGCTCCCCTCAGCAGTGTATTTCAGTACATCTGCTTGTTCTGCTCCCTACTCTGCCTCTGGTGAAGCTTCTCACCACCCTACCACCCCCGTACCTTTGGCTTACCAGCTCTTATAAGCATAAATAAGTAAATCTTTATGCTAAATCAAGTAATTTATCAAAGTCTTCCCTGGTGGAGCAAGGGTTTAAAGCACAGCACATTGAAGCTCTTCATAGCTACTGCAGCATGAATTTGATCCCAGGCCAGAGAGGTGACCCATATGGCACAGGAGACTGCTCCTGTCTACCCCACTGCTCCCCTCTGCAGTGTATTCTGACTGTGCAGTGAGTCAGTCTGCTTGTTCTGTTCCCCACTCTGTTTCTGATGAATTCTCTGACCCCCACAACTTTGGCCTATACCTCAGCTCGTGTATGCATAAATAAATAAATCTTTAACAAATAATTTATCAATTTTTCAGATTCCTATTTTGAACTTACATATATGCATCCAGAGTCTTTCATCCTCTGGCTCCAATCTGAAGTGGTAGTTTCACTGCTGCAACGCTACCATCCTGGTATCTACCTTTATCAGCAACTTGGGGAACTTCTTCACTTATCTTCTATGTTGTATGTCCTTTTTCCTGTATCTTATGATTTGTTTTGCTACTTAATTTTGGTGGAATACAACCCTGATAGCTTCTTGAAAAGATGCAAGGTAGATTAGTCCTTTTAAACTGAATGTTTTGTATGTCATATTTAATTGATATTAAGTCTAGACAGAAAAGTCTAGGTTGAGGGCCTCCCTGGTGGTGCAAAGGGGTTAAGAGTCAGCACTATGAAGCTATGTGCAGCAATTGAAGCAGCAGTTTGAGTTCAATCCCAGGCTGGGGAAGTGACCCACAGGGCACAGCAGACCTCTCCTGTCTTGCCTGCTGCTCCGCTCAACTTGTATTTCAGTATATTTGCCTGTTCTCCTCCCCACTCTGTCTCTGGTGAATTCCCTCACCCACCCCCCACATCTCTGGCCTGCAACCCAGTTGCAGGCAACAATAAATAAATAAATATATTCATAAATAAGTAAATCCAGTAGCGCAACGACTTAAAGCACAGCACTGTGAAGCTCATGTAGCCTCTTCAATGTGAGTTCA